CCCCTCCTGGGAACAGTGCCAGACTCCAAGACCCATCATCCCCACTTGCAAAGCCCGCTTCCCTCGCTCTTCTTCGATCCCACTAGCCCACCCTCCGCGGCCGAACCGACGGGCGCCGACCGAGCTGAAACCCACCCGACCTCGGGGAGGAGTGGGGGGCGAGGGCAACGATTCCTCCCCCCCCCCCACCCCCCCCCCCCACCGAGAGGGCTTCCCCCACTGGCCGCCGGGACCGAAGCGCGCAGCCTTTTTGCCTCCCCGGAGCCGCGGCTGCTGCAGCGCCCGGGACCCAATTGCGTCCCCCGCACCCCCCCCCCAAAAAAAGCCGGCCCAAGGCTCTGGAGTTGCGCCCCCAGGGAGTGAAGGGGGGGGGGGAAACACCGCTCACCCGGGCTGCCTCCGTCTCTCCTCGGCCCCGGCTGGGCTGGGCTGGCGGTGCCGCAGCCCCCGCAGCGGTCACAGCGGTCCCTGGGCGACGGGCAACCGGCCCCTCGGTTCCCCAGGCCCGGCCGGGCTCATAGAGCGGAAACCAGCGGCGACCCCCGCCCCCCGGGCCGCGCTGCTGCAGCCTCCGAGCCCCTCGCCAGCTGTCCGGCTGGCCCCGCTCGCCCCTCGGCTCTGCTCCCTCCCCTCCCCAGCTGGGGAAGGGCTGTCCGGGACGCCCCGCCCACACGCCCCTCCCCCGCCTCCCCCTCCCCGCCCTCTGGACGACTCCACGGTCCGCAGCGCCCCCTGCTGGCCAGGAAAAGGAGGGACCCCCCCATTTCAAGGGTTGCATTCACGGAGAAACCCTCCGCCCCCCCCATTCCGGGACCCGATCAACCCCATTGTCCAAGTTGAGCCTGTGGGACATTAACCCAGATCAGCCCCCCCCCACAAATAAAATCCAAGCTGAATAAGTCAAGACCTTGTTGAGGATCCAAACTCTGTCAAAGGACCTTGGAGTACTCATCTCTAATGATCTAAGTGCCAGAGCCCACTGTAACTACATAGCCAAAAAGGCGTTAAAGAGTTGTTAACTTAATCCTACCTAGCTTCTTCTCTGGTAATATCACACTACTAACCAGAGCACACAAAACATTTGCAAGACCAAGACTTGAATACAGCTCATCGGTCTGAACCCCATATCATATCTCTGAGATGAACACAATTGAAAAAGTCCAGAAAGAAGAGTTCTCCGCTCCTCAAGTCATTGCAGAAGACCTTAGGCCACCAGACTTGAAATTCTAGACCTAGAAAACTAGAACTACGCCGCCTTCAGTCCAATCTAAATATAGTATATAAAATCATACATTGCAATGTCCTACCTGTCAATGAATACTTCAGCTTCCACCCTAACAACACAAGAGCAAACAATAGATGCAAACTCAAGGTGAGGACATTTCTCCTTCGTTCTGGGTTCCTTCTCTCCTTGATTAGTTTCCACCTACTCCGTCTCCTCCAGCCTTCGGGTGCAAGGAAGCCTAACTTGTGAGTGCAACCAATAAAAGTGAACGCGCATGGGAATGCGAGCTGTCATTACTCTCAGGCACCGGAAGACTTTCACTCCCCTGTGGTTTTGCAACCAGCCTCTCTCTTGCGAGAGGGTGAATCGGAGGTGGGTGCGGTGGGAGCGTCGCCTGGATCCAAGTGCCAAGTCCCCATGGATCTCTGCGCAACCCCTGGGCCTCTGCCCCGAATTCTAAGCTCTTCAGTGCCATCTTTTATTTTATTTTTCTCTTGGGGGGTGGGGGGGAGGGGAGAGGGAGAGGATCCCTTTAATCTACACTCAAATCCAGACAGCTGGATTTGGCTGGAGATTCGTGGTGTGTGCGTGTGTGTGTGTGCAATCCAGTAAATAGGTTAATCCAATAACCAGATTATGAGTCTTGCGCAAACACAGCCCAAGACGTATATTAAACTGATAGCGAGCAGGGTGGGGGGTAGGGGGGGCGTCTTTCCCAACAGATTGATGAGCTTCACCATGATGGCCAGAAGTGGGTCAGGATTAATAGCTCCAGCTTGACCCCACCCCCGTGAGCTGAGACTGGTGGTCTCAGCCCTGGAGTGGGGATATAAACAGGACTCTGTACCTTTCCTTATCTCTCTCTTGTGTGAGAATCTCTCTCTCTCTCTCTCTCCTCCCTCCCTCCCTCTGTCTCTCTCTCTCTCTCAAACGTTAACAGACACAAACACAAAGCAACAAATAAAACCATTTTTCCATTGTACAGTGTGTCGGGTGGTACGTATCTTTTGTGCACAATATCAGCAGCCTTTCCCTTCTAGATTTAAATTATAATTCACATTATATATATATCGACTGTGCCTATTATGTTATTATTAACACCTTATCAGACTTTAATTATAAATTCACATCATTCTTTTCGAGCAAATCTCAACTATTACATGGCCTAATGCATAATATTATTTATTTCATAATGAAGAATATTGCAGCATATCATTACCTCACCTTATCATTGCTATCATGTAATATTTATATTATAATATATTTTATTTCCCTGTTTTCTTATCTAGACATCGATAAAATAAATCCCAGATTTTATAATATTCTTTATCTTCTTGCTCTCTAATTGCTCATGTCAATTTACTCATTTCTGCACATTCCACTATTTTCTTAATCGCCTCCTCTTCTATCGGAATTTTTTCACTTTTCTGATTTTGGGCAAATACAATTCTAGCTGCTATTAATACATTAAAAATCAGATATATCAATGGCTCATATTTATGACGGTTGCAGTCTTCCCTGGGCCTTGAGATCCTGCTTTGCGACCTTCTGACAAGCCAAGCCAATGGGGAAGATTCACTTAACAGCCACGTTACTGATTTAACAACTGAAGTGATTCACTGAACAACAGTGGCAAGGAAGGTTGTCAAATGGAGGCAAAACTCACTTAACAAATACCTTGCTTAGCAACAGATATGTTGGACTCCACTGTGGTTGTAAGTTGAGGACTTACCTGTACAGGGAAGGCTAAGCATGGATGGCCCATACATTGCTGAACTACAGCTCCCAGCATCCATCGGTTTGGTCCTCACTGACTGAGTTTCTGGGAGATGTAGTTTAACAGATTCTCCTATCGCTGCTCAAGGCTGAGATGTGCCTCGGACTGTAATTCAGTTTGGATAAGAAGCTCAGCTTTTAAGGAAGAAAAGACGTGTCAGTTTTAGCAATGGGCAGCATCACAGATATTAGAAGAGGAATTGATGTTTCAGAAGGTAGGTAGGTAGGTAGGTAGGCAGGAAGGAAGGAAGGAAAGAGAAAGAAGGAAGGAAAGGGGGGAGGGAGGGAAAGGAGGGAGGAAGGGAAGGAAGAAAGAGGAAGAAAAAGGGAAGGAAGGAAGGAAGGAAGGAAGGAAGGAAGGAAGGAAGGAGGGAGGGAGAGAGGGAAGGAAGGAAAGAAAGAAAGAAAGAAAGAAAGAAAGAAAGAAAGAAAGAAAGAAAGAAAGAAAGAAGAAAAAAGAAAGGAAAGAAAGAAAGAAAGAAAGAGAAGAAAAATACAACAAGACTGGGGTTTTTGTATAATTTCAAACTCATTTTCAATCTGCAGGGTGCCTCAAAATGATTGAGTCTAACAGAATCACAATCTGATCCTGGAAACACTTGGAACGGTAAGTAGATAAAATTTTAAAACAATTCCAGCCTCCAGCTTGTAAAAAGCCAGTGTAAAATATGTTTCCTGCTTCTTTTTTTCTTTTTTTTCATTCAGAGTTGTTGAGAGTGAATTCTAGCTGTGGGTGAATGTGGTGAAAACTTGCCAATTTTGTTTCCTCAGCTGTAAAATTTGACAGTTGCATCATTGCTTCTATTGGGGAGTGAAAAAAAACAAAACAAAAACAAATGATAACAAGTTTGGCGTCTTGGACATTCTGTCAAAACTCTGAGATGCATATCATGACATCTTCATGCAGAAAGTATTGGGCGTGTGATGTCTGACACAAGAAGGTAAAAGTTGCATCGGTTGTGTCATGGACCTACTCAAGTGCTCATGTGCTTGTTGGGCCAGAGGAGCCCAACAAGTTGACCCCGAGCTACACTTAATTCTTCGTTATGGAAAATTCTGGAGTTATACAAGGCAGGCTTAGGCCTAATCCTGTTACCTTTACCCTTCTTCTTGACAGAGCAAGTGTATAGCCCCAGCTATGTTTATGACTCAGCTGAAGTCAGAATACAAGTGAGACAGTCCTATGTTTTAAAAATGAGTGTAGGAGGACAAATAAAGAGTAGAAAAATGTGACCTTATGGAGAATGCGAGGCAGAAATAAATGTAAACTTGCCAATTGCGCTTCCATACACTCTACTGCCTTTTTCAAGTAAATGGATGACACAACTCCATGTCTTTATACAGTACCTACCATACCACACTACACTCTATCAGAATGGATAACGTCAACTCATAAAATATTTCTACGGTCTTTTTAGAGATGCCAACAGAAAAGGAGGGGGGAGCAGTGTGCCAGCTTGCAAAACAAAAACTGCATTCCATAAATAGTTTTTCAAAGATAGTTTCTAGGTGAGTGAAGTTTCCACCATACAAAATTCTAACTGGAGAGCATGATTGATATGACTCTTGGCTATGGATGTGTCCCATTGGAGAAGTTCTAGAAGTTTGGCTTGAGACTCAGCCCTTTGAGAAATACGCTAGCACCCTAATTTTATTTATTTACTTATTTATATTTTGAAAACTCTACCAGCAGAGGCTGCTATAACAAAAAAAAACTCCCTACCTTGGGTGAAATGTTCTTAATGTACTACCAACTCCGAGACTCTATAAATCCAGAAGAAGATTGCCAGGAATCATTTATCCCCAGTGAAAACAAATGAATAGGAGTGCAGAGGGAGGGAGGGGAAGGAGGAAGCTTGCTAGCTTTTCAAAACATTAAAAGGCTTCTTGGCTTAATTGATCCTTCTCCGAGTAATTCTTCCTTGGAGGCAACGTCTAATTGAAATCAAATGTACTGTTGTAATTGCTTTAATTTTGCTGTTGCCTGGGTAGGCTTCATAGTTTAGAAATCTTTCCTCTACAAAATCTCTACAAAACAGATGTTGAGACTCCCGGGGGGGAAAAAAGTGCAGAGAAGAGCAACCAGGATGATTAGGGGACTGGAGGCTAAAACATATGAAGAACGATTACAGGAACTGGGCCTGGCTGGTCTAGTGGCGAGAAGGACCAGGGGAGACAGGAGAGCGGTCTTCCAATATCTATGGGGCTGCCACAAAGAAGAGCCTATTCTCCAAAGCATCTGAAGGCAGGACAAGAAAAAATGGACGAAAGATGATAAAAGAGAGAACCAACCTAGAACTAAAGAGAAATTTCTCGACAGTGAGAACAATCAACCCGCGGAATGGCTTGCCTTCAGAAGTTGCTGATGCTGCATCACTGGAAGTTTTTAAGAAGAGACTGGACAGTCCCTTGTCTGGAATGGCGTAGGGTCTCCTGCTTGAGCGGGGGGGTGGACTAGAAGACCTCCAAGGTCCCTTCCAACTCCATTATTCCGTATTCTATAGTTCCTAAAAGGCCTCTGAGAAAACAGCATCCTATACCAACGAGGTTAAACTTAAGCGTAGCACACAAAATTATCTGCTACAATGTCCTACCAGT